GTTGCAATAATGTTCCGTGCTTGCTGTTGCAACACGTGAGTAATGCCTGCCTCGTTGGGTTCCTTGAGCATGATCTACTGGCGATGCACAGTGTGCCTTCCACAGACATTGACCCACAGCTGACCAGCTTTCTGTGGCTGGCTACTCTGGTCCGTGAAGCCACCTTGAGATGAGATCATCTGGTACTGTGCATTTTGTCTAACCTTGAAAAGCCCGAACAACACCCACAATGATGGAATCCTCAGTGACCTTCGTGAGATTGTCCTAAAAGGCAGTCGGTCGAACCATTCAGGTTTTGTTGAAAGCACTCTACATTCTGGAGTCACACCAGCACGGCCTGCTCCAGACCTTTTGGATCTGAAGGAGGGTGTCTCTCCTTGCAGTGTTCTTCAAGTGACACTACTTTTCCGTTAAGACGAATGGCGTAGTCACATCGTTATTGTGCGCAGGCCACAATTACTTGTATAGGCCTGACTTGCAGATATGCTGCAAGTCCTCTAGCGTGTGATTTACAGCTAGATAAATCCAGTGATTGGAGATATTCCCAAACACCAACTGTCTAGTGTGTGCACTTCAGAAGTACAGCTTCCATCCTGATCCAGGATTGTAATTTGGGGACCAAGTGGTCTTTCCGGTGGTTGCTGAGGCAACATTTGTGAGAACCAGCATGGTGCAGTGGTTAAGAGCTGCAGACTCTAATCGGGAAAACGGGGTTGGATTCTCCCTTCCTCCCCATGAAGTCTGCTGGCTGACCTTGGGCCAGTCACGCTCAATGTTCCCCCTAAGCGGTGGAGTCTTGTGAGCAAAACTTCTATTTTGTGAGCTACTGGCACTAAAGTGGTGAGCGAGCAATTTGGCTGCTGCATAAATTAGTGGCCTCTGGAGCCCCTCCCTTCCTGAGCCAAGACAAAAATGTGTGAGCTGGAGGCTAAAGAACTGTGAGCGGGCGCACACTGACTCAGCTTAGAGGGAACACTGGTCACGCTTCTCGCTATCTGAAGAAGTGAGCAGTGACTCACGAAAGCTCAATCCCTGCCACAAACTTTGTTAGTTAGTCTTTAGTCTTGCTCTTTTCTGCTTCTGTCTGAACTTGGAGAAACGACGACCGAGGGGTGACATGATTGAGGTTTATAAGATTATGCATGGGAAAGAGCAGGTAGAGAAAGAGGTACTTTTCTCCCTTTCTCACAATACAAGAACTCGTGGGCACTCCATGAAATTGCTGAGCGGTCGGGTTAGAACGAATAAAAGGAAGTACTTCTTCACCCAAAGAGTGATTAACACTTGGAATTCACTGCCACAGGAAGTGGTGGCGGCTACAAGCATGGACGGCTTCAAAAGGGAATTAGATAACCATATGGAGCAGAGGTCCATCAGTGGCTATTAGCCACAAGGTATAGATAGGGACTCTGGGGCAAGTGATGCTCTGTCATCTTGGTGCTTGGAGGGGGGGTCAACAGTGGGAGGGCTTCTAATGTCCTGGCCCCACTGGTGGACCTCCTGATGGCACCTGGTATTTCTGGCCACTGTGTGATATAGAGTGTTGGACTGGATGGGCCTTTGGCCTGATCCAACATTGGCATCTCTTATGTTCTTATGTTCTTATGTTCTAACTCTTTCAGCTCCACCTACCTCACAAGGGGCTTGTTGTAGGGAGAGGAAGGGGGTGTGATCGTAAGCCACTCTGAGACTCCTTAGCTGTTGTCTTCCGCTACATTCTTAAAACTGGGGCAGATCGTCCATTTAACTCACCAGGAAAATTCCCGGAGGGCTGCTAGCTGAGCCCAGTGACCAGTAAGCACCTACCCCAAGCAAGAGTCCTGATAACTCCCTGAATTTGTCAAGTTCTCTAGGTAGTGCTTGAGGAAATGAGAGAGTAGTGATGATGGGTTATTTTAATTGGCCGTGGTTGGAGATTTCATTCGGCAAAAGGGACAAAGTGTTTTTGATTCTCCATCCTGTCCACTCCCAGGTGTGGAAGATTCAGAGCGGGCAGTGCCTCAGGCGATTTGAGCGCGCGCACAGCAAGGGTGTCACCTGTCTGAGTTTTTCAAAGGACAGCAGTCAGATCCTCAGCGCCTCTTTCGACCAGACGATCAGGTAAGCTGGGATCTGTTGGTTTTGCCGGGCATCATCAGCCGGCCTGGCTCGCACTGATGCCGCTCTTCTGCTGTAACAGGATCCACGGCTTGAAATCCGGGAAGACTCTCAAGGAGTTCCGTGGTCATTCTTCTTTCGTCAACGAAGCGACTTTCACCCAGGACGGTCATTACATTATCAGCGCGTCTTCTGACGGCACCGTCAAGGTAGGTTACAGCTGCTGAGCTGGGAACGCTGTGTCTTTTGTTAGACTCCTAAAATGTTCTCTCAGTGAACTCTTGTGATTTTTTTCTTTTTACCAACATGAATTTGCACAAGTGGAGTAAATGATGTGCTGTGATTTAACCAGGTGATACTAAAGCCATTTAAAGCTATTCAGTGTTCTCGGTCACAGTTCCTTCATAGCCCACTGCAGCTTTTTGGGATAGTATAACGTGATGCATTTTCTAGAGAGGCTCTGTAGCTTCAGCCTGGTTCTTTTAGAATCATAGAGTTGGAAGGGACCTCCAGAGTCATCTAGTCCAGCCCCCTGCACAATGCAGGAAATTCACAAATACCTCTCCCCCCCCCATACCCCCAGTGACCACTGTTCCATGCCCAGAAGATGACAAAATATCTCCAGGATCACTGGGGGCCAAACTGGCCTGGAGAAAAATTGCTTCCTGGCCCCAAAGAGGCAATCAGCATTTCCCTGGGCGTGTAAGAAAGGGCCACAAGAACTAAGCACTGATGCAACCCTCCCTGCTCTCCCTCTCATGATTTGCCTAAGTTCACAGACTCAGCAGTTCTGTCAGACGGCCATCTAGCCTCTGCTGAAAAACCTCCAAAGAAGGAGAGCCCACCACCTCCTGAGGAAGCCTGTTCCACTGAGGAACTGCTCTGTCAGGGAGCACAGCACAGCTTTCTCATCTAAGCAGCTGTTTAGCAAGATGATTTTGTTTGTTTTTAATACGGGCCTCCAATTTTGGAGGAGCTGCGGTGGCTCAAGTGGTTAAGACGCTGAACTGCAGGCTGTGGAAGGTCAGTAGTTCAGCAGTTCGAGACCCGAGTGTGCCGCATGACGGAGTGAGCTCCCGTCTCTAGTTCCAGCTCCTGCCAACCTAGCAGTTCGAAAGCAAGAAATTGCAAGTAGATAAATAGGTAGCACTTCGGTGGGAAGGTAACAGCGTTCCATGCGCCTCGGTGTTTAGTCATGCCGGCCACATGACTACGGAAACGTCTTCGGACAGCGCTGGCTCTTCGGCTTTGAAACGGAGATGAGCGCCGCAACCCTAGAGTCAGATTCGACTGGCTTTCGAGCAAGAGAACCTTTACCTTTTACCAATTTTGGACTTGACTTTAAATAAAAATCTGAGAAGCTCATCACAGGAAGCCCCGCTCAGCAGCAGTCTGGACCCGCGCAGGATCTCGCACTGCCCAGTGTTAGAGATGTGAAGGCCCGGAAAAAAAAACGGAAAAATTCGGGGGGGAAACGTTTCCCCCCGTTTTTTTCCTGAAGCCTTTTTTGTTTTTTTCCGAAAAATTGGAAAAATTGAAAAAAGGAAAAAAAATGATTATGGAACGTTTTATTTTAACATGATGAATAAAATATTTTAAGACAAGGTGTTCAAATATTTTCCAAATCTCATTTCATGCCAAGTAAAAATGTCCATAGTCATATTTTATGTTCCTAAAGCAACAGAATGACTTTCAATCTAGAAAAGACAAAAGAAATGCTAATTTTGTTCAATTTTTCCGAAAATTCCCTTTTTCCCCTGGAAAAAACTGGAGAAAAACCGTTTTTTTCCCGAGCTTCAAAATTTCTGGAAATTTTACATCTCTATCCAGTGCCCATTTTAAGATTACAGCAGTTATATGCTGCTCAGGATGTGAACTGCTCCACTCAGT